ACCCTTGAGGCACTTTTGACGCGCCCCTTCCTTTAAGGGCCGATTAAGGGGTAAGGGGTAAGTTGCACACATCTGGAACCCGAGGCTGCGGCTAGATATTGACCCGAGGAATCGATTGTGACCCTTATTTTGGCGATCAGACGAACCCTTGAGGCACTTTTGACGCGCCCCTTCCTTTAAGGGCCGATTAAGGGGTAAGGGGTAAGTTGCACACATCTGGAACCCGAGGCTGCGGCTAGATATTGACCCGAGGAATCGATTGCGACCCTTATTTTGGCGATCAGAGGAACCCTTGAGGCACTTTTGACGCGCCCCTTTCTTTAAGGGCCGATTAAGGGGTAAGGGGTAAGTTGCACACATCTGGAACCCGAGGCTGCGGCTAGATATTGACCCGAGGAATCGATTGCGACCCTTATTTTGGCGATCAGACGAACCCTTGAGGCACTTTTGACGCGCCCCTTCCTTTAAGGGCCGATTAAGGGGTAAGGGGTAAGTTGCACACATCTGGAACCCGAGGCTGCGGCTAGATATTGACCCGAGGAATCGATTGCGACCCTTATTTTGGCGATCAGACGAACCCTTGAGGCACTTTTGACGCGCCCCTTCCTTTAAGGGCCGATTAAGGGGTAAGGGGTAAGTTGCACACATCTGGAACCCGAGGCTGCGGCTAGATATTGACCCGAGGAATCGATTGCGACCCTTATTTTGGCGATCAGACGAACCCTTGAGGCACTTTTGACGCGCCCCTTCCTTTAAGGGCCGATTAAGGGGTAAGGGGTAAGTTGCACACATCTGGAACCCGAGGCTGCGGCTAGATATTGACCCGGGGAATCGATTGCGACCCTTATTTTGGCGATCAGAGGAACCCTTGAGGCACTTTTGACGCGCCCCTTCCTTTAAGGGCCGATTAAGGGGTAAGGGGTAAGTTGCACACATCTGGAACCCGAGGCTGCGGCTAGATATTGACCCGAGGAATCGATTGCGACCCTTATTTTGGCGATCAGACGAACCCTTGAGGCACTTTTGACGCGCCCCTTCCTTTAGAGGCCGATTAAGGGGTAAGGGGTAAGTTGCACACATCTGGAACCCGAGGCTGCGGCTAGATATTGACCCGAGGAATCGATTGCGACCCTTATTTTGGCGATCAGACGAACCCTTGAGGCACTTTTGACGCGCCCCTTCCTTTAAGGGCCGATTAAGGGGTAAGGGGTAAGTTGCACACATCTGGAACCCGAGGCTGCGGCTAGATATTGACCCGAGGAATCGATTGCGACCCTTATTTTGGCGATCAGACGAACCCTTGAGGCACTTTTGACGCGCCCCTTCCTTTAAGGGCCGATTAAGGGGTAAGGGGTAAATTGCACACATCTAGAACCCGAGGCTGCGGCTAGATATTGACCCGAGGAATCGATTGCGACCCTTATTTTGGCGATCAGACGAACCCTTGAGGCACTTTTGACGCGCCCCTTCCTTTAAGGGCCGATTAAGGGGTAAGGGGTAAGTTGCACACATCTGGAACCCGAGGCTGCGGCTAGATATTGACCCGAGGAATCGATTGCGACCCTTATTTTGACGATCAGACGAACCCTTGAGGCACTTTTGACGCGCCCCTTCCTTTAAGGGCCGATTAAGGGGTAAGGGGTAAGTTGCACACATCTGGAACCCGAGGCTGCGGCTAGATATTGACCCGAGGAATCGATTGCGACCCTTATTTTGGCGATCAGACGAACCCTTGAGGCACTTTTGACGCGCCCCTTCCTTTAAGGGCCGATTAAGGGGTAAGGGGTAAGTTGCACACATCTGGAACCCGAGGCTGCGGCTAGATATTGACCCGAGGAATCGATTGCGACCCTTATTTTGGCGATCAGACGAACCCTTGAGGCACTTTTGACGCGCCCCTTCCTTTAAGGGCCGATTAAGGGGTAAGGGGTAAGTTGCACACATCTGGAACCCGAGGCTGCGGCTAGATATTGACCCGAGGAATCGATTGCGACCCTTATTTTGGCGATCAGACGAACCCTTGAGGCACTTTTGACGCGCCCCTTCCTTTAAGGGCCGATTAAGGGGTAAGGGGTAAGTTGCACACATCTGGAACCCGAGGCTGCGGCTAGATATTGACCCGAGGAATCGATTGCGACCCTTATTTTGGCGATCAGACGAACCCTTAAGGCACTTTTGACGCGCCCCTTCCTTTAAGGGCCGATTAAGGGGTAAGGGGTAAGTTGCACACATCTGGAACCCGAGGCTGCGGCTAGATATTGACCCAGGGAATCGATTGCGACCCTTATTTTGGCGATCAGAGGAACCCTTGAGGCACTTTTGACGCGCCCCTTCCTTTAAGGGCCGATTAAGGGGTAAGGGGTAAGTTGCACACATCTGGAACCCGAGGCTGCGGCTAGATATTGACCCGAGGAATCGATTGAGACCCTTATTTTGGCGATCAGAGGAACCCTTGAGGCACTTTTGACGCGCCCCTTCCTTTAAGGGCCGATTAAGGGGTAAGGGGTAAGTTGCACACATCTGGAACCCGAGGCTGCGGCTAGATATTGACCCGAGGAATCGATTGAGACCCTTATTTTGGCGATCAGAGGAACCCTTGAGGCACTTTTGACGCGCCCCTTCCTTTAAGGGCCGATTAAGGGGTAAGGGGTAAGTTGCACACATCTGGAACCCGAGGCTGCGGCTAGATATTGACCCGAGGAATCGATTGAGACCCTTATTTTGGCGATCAGAGGAACCCTTGAGGCACTTTTGACGCGCCCCTTCCTTTAAGGGCCGATTAAGGGGTAAGGGGTAAGTTGCACACATCTGGAACCCGAGGCTGCGGCTAGATATTGACCCGAGGAATCGATTGCGACCCTTATTTTGGCGATCAGACGAACCCTTGAGGCACTTTTGACGCGCCCCTTCCTTTAAGGGCCGATTAAGGGGTAAGGGGTAAGTTGCACACATCTGGAACCCGAGGCTGCGGCTAGATATTGACTTGAGGAATCGATTGCGACCCTTATTTTGGCGATCAGACGAACCCTTGAGGCACTTTTGACGCGCCCCTTCCTTTAAGGGCCGATTAAGGGGTAAGGGGTAAGTTGCACACATCTGGAACCCGAGGCTGCGGCTAGATATTGACCCGAGGAATCGATTGCGACCCTTATTTTGGCGATCAGACGAACCCTTGAGGCACTTTTGACGCGCCCCTTCCTTTAAGGGCCGATTAAGGGGTAAGGGGTAAGTTGCACACATCTGGAACCCGAGGCTGCGGCTAGATATTGACCCGAGGAATCGATTGCGACCCTTATTTTGGCGATCAGACGAACCCTTGAGGCACTTTTGACGCGCCCCTTCCTTTAAGGGCCGATAAAGGGGTAAGGGGTAAGTTGCACACATCTGGAACCCGAGGCTGCGGCTAGATATTGACCCGAGGAATCGATTGCGACCCTTATTTTGGCGATCAGACGAACCCTTGAGGCACTTTTGACGCGCCCCTTCCTTTAAGGGCCGATTAAGGGGTAAGGGGTAAGTTGCACACATCTGGAACCCGAGGCTGCGGCTAGATATTGACCCGAGGAATCGATTGCGACCCTTATTTTGGCGATCAGACGAACCCTTAAGGCACTTTTGACGCGCCCCTTCCTTTAAGGGCCGATTAAGGGGTAAGGGGTAAGTTGCACACATCTGGAACCCGAGGCTGCGGCTAGATATTGACCCAGGGAATCGATTGCGACCCTTATTTTGGCGATCAGAGGAACCCTTGAGGCACTTTTGACGCGCCCCTTCCTTTAAGGGCCGATTAAGGGGTAAGGGGTAAGTTGCACACATCTGGAACCCGAGGCTGCGGCTAGATATTGACCCGAGGAATCGATTGAGACCCTTATTTTGGCGATCAGAGGAACCCTTGAGGCACTTTTGACGCGCCCCTTCCTTTAAGGGCCGATTAAGGGGTAAGGGGTAAGTTGCACACATCTGGAACCCGAGGCTGCGGCTAGATATTGACCCGAGGAATCGATTGAGACCCTTATTTTGGCGATCAGACGAACCCTTGAGGCACTTTTGACGCGCCCCTTCCTTTAAGGGCCGATTAAGGGGTAAGGGGTAAGTTGCACACATCTGGAACCCGAGGCTGCGGCTAGATATTGACCCGAGGAATCGATTGAGACCCTTATTTTGGCGATCAGAGGAACCCTTGAGGCACTTTTGACGCGCCCCTTCCTTTAAGGGCCGATTAAGGGGTAAGGGGTAAGTTGCACACATCTGGAACCCGAGGCTGCGGCTAGATATTGACCCGAGGAATCGATTGCGACCCTTATTTTGGCGATCAGACGAACCCTTGAGGCACTTTTGACGCGCCCCTTCCTTTAAGGGCCGATTAAGGGGTAAGGGGTAAGTTGCACACATCTGGAACCCGAGGCTGCGGCTAGATATTGACTTGAGGAATCGATTGCGACCCTTATTTTGGCGATCAGACGAACCCTTGAGGCACTTTTGACGCGCCCCTTCCTTTAAGGGCCGATTAAGGGGTAAGGGGTAAGAGCTAGGGCCAAATAAAGGTCATATTCTTGCTCCCCGTCCCCCAATTGACCTAATATGAGTTTTTTAAGCGATTCTGAATCCGACGCTGTATTCGTTGCTGTTGCTGACGCTAACTTCACGGACATACTGAATATGACGTGACATTCACAACGTATTATTCCTGCCGTTGGACTGTGTTGTTTTCGTTTTGCCAACTGATTCAGTGCTGTATACTATGTGTTTGTCTCGAGTGCCAATACCTCGTTCCCTGTATTTATCTTGTCCTCATGTTTGCTGTGATGCATTGTTGGGCCTGTTTAACCCCGTCCCGATACATCGCTGTCGTCGTTGTGTCCCATATGACTCCATGCTGTACCCATCGTGTCCCACTGACCCAACAGGGTGCCCTTGCTGCACTCATCTCATATACCCAACACTGTCTAATCATTTTGTGCAATCGAACCCATGCTGACCGTGTTGTACCCATTCTATAGCCGGCCTCGCCTGGGTCTGAAGCTGGGGCCCCGCTTTGGCCCCCGCCTGGGGCCTCAGCCGCGGCCCGACATTAGAAATAGTGCCGTGGCAATCTGGATCCAGAGGTAACCTCGCCTGTTACAGCACGTTCCACATCGGCGGCGACTCTGTACAGCTGTCCTCTCTATCTCGGCTACTGTTTGTTGAACGCATGGTCCTTGCGACGGAGAATGGCCGTGCTGCATGGAGAATGATCGTCATTTTTTGTTTATTTCGCCGTTATATGAGCTATTTATGCTTTTTGTTGTTGAAAGGACGACTGAAAACAATCTTTGATGATGGATTGATTAATTGTAGAGTATCTGTTTATCTGAAACTGACAAGTTTTGTCTTATAGGTATCAGCTTTGTATTCGCATTTTTTCGTCAAATTCTTGGACATGTTTTATCTTGCATTACTACTCCTGCAAATTGTTGGCGTTATTCAATGCAATATTCATAGACGCCTAGAGTTATTTACTAAGGTCTATGCGACACGCGTTGTCTTTTGCCATACCTATGCGGGCTCCTGTAGCTTCCAGAGCGTGACACCAAGAGAGTCATTCGTCTTCCGTTCTAGTTTCTATCATCAGGCCAATGATTCCGTGTCAATTATAGTCCAACGACCTCTGAGGTCACGCTAACCGGTCCGAGGCGGCTCACACCGGATCGTCAAAGCGCCGGTTGTCTCCACCGCTCGTGAGAGAGAGAGCTTGTGGTTATCTTTGGTTACGGCGAGACACTCTCAGTGCACTTGACATTAACAATGTGGCGCCATTTGGACAGTGTCACGGAACTCAGCACCAAAAATCTCAGCTCATTCTTGCAGGCCGTTTATAACTTGAACCACGGCACAGAAAACAAAACACGGCACACCGCCGCCATCAGAAACCAGTAACCACGGCACACCGCCGCCATCAGAAACCAGTAACCACGGCACACCGCCGCCATCAACACCAATAACCACGGCACACCGCCGCCATCAACGCACACACATCAGACACAATTCCCGAACTTTCGGGCCGCCGCTCGCCCCCGGCTGCCGGTCAGCTGACCGCCGGAGGCGACCAATCAGAGCTCGCAGACGCCGTCTCTCGGCAGCACCGACCGGATCAGACGGTCAGCGCCGATCGAGGCGACCTCTATTCGTCGGCATCACCAATAATTCCCGAAAGAGGCGCTACTAATCCGTAACATAACTCCCCACCTTGACCCTCAGGTCAACACAAAACAGCTTCGTAACACTAGCAAACAGGTTTGATCAGCCATCACTAGGGCAATCATCAGCGATAAATCTAGCACGAGTGAGGCACAGCGACAATGGAACACATTCCCAGTCAACGCCACCACACAACCTATAAGCTATACGATTACAAACACAAATAAATCACATCGATCAATCGTAAAACAAATCGCGCAGCACGACGTGCGTCAGCACAACGTCCCCTTTCGACTCAGTGACGTACCAGACCATAAAGGGCACGCTGGATCCGGCTCTCAGGAATACAAGGATCCGAATCAGTCCTGAGCTCGCGTAGGATCCTGGGAGGATAGAGAGGGAACGACCTCCAGGTCGTATAGCCGCTGCACAGCGCGCGTCCTCAGTCCTTTCTCTGTACTTACCTCCACTGACCTAGTCTTCCCATCTCGCCCAGGGAGCAGTCTCGTGACCCTGCCCATGACCCACTTCTGCCGGGGAACATGGTCCTCCTCCAGCAGCACTACTGACCCCTCTGTCAACTTACCGTGAGAACGGAACTGGCGCACAGTGGGTGGAAGACTACGCAAATATTCCTTCCGCCAAACCTGCCAAAATCGGTTCAGACGCCGTTCTCTGATCCGCGCCCTCTCCTGGAGCGCGCTGCCGTCAACCGACCGGGCACTCTCAACCCGGCTCTGGAAGCCCGCGCCTCGGCCGATTAAGAAATGACTCGGGGTGAGCGCGTCTGGGTCCTCAGGGTCGTCTGTGACGGCCGTGAGGGGCCGTGAGTTGACACATGCCTCTATCTCAGACAGCATGGTCTCCAACTCAGTCCGAGTCACACAGCGGGTCCCCAGGGACTTCCTGAGACCCACCTTGACAGAGCGAATGAGCCGCTCGTAGAAACCGCCGTGCCACGGCGCCACCGGCGTCGTGAAGCGCCACTCCGGAGCTTTGTCTCCGAAATACCTCCGCAGGGACACGTCTGCGGCCTTGAAATATCTCGCATTATCAGAAATAACACGAGACGGAAAGCCACGTCTGGCAGCAAACCGACGGAATGCTAACAAAATGTCTGCCTGCGACAGAGACTCCGTCAGCTCGAGATGCACCGCACGCACCTGCGCACACGTGAACAGAGCCACATAGAACTTCTTGTTCGGAAAATCAACACAGAACAGAGGTCCGGCCATATCCACACCGACGGTCGAAAAACAAGGAGACTCGCTGACACGAGCAGCGGGGAGCGGCGCCGCCGGCTCGTTACACGCACGTGCGTCATGTCTCCGACAGGCGACACACTGGCGCTTCACACGCTTCGCCAGACACCTCAGCCCCACGATCCAGAACCGTTCGCGCAGAGCGGTGATCATCGTCGAAACACCGGCATGTCTCATCAGCAGGTGCTGCTCTCTGACTAACAGTTCTGAAAGACGACACTTCGGCAAGATCACAGGGTGCTTCTCAGCATACGACAGATCTGAGAGCTGTAACCTGCCAGTCATACGGACCAAACCGTCACTGTCGATGAAGGGAGTCAGCTTAGTGAGGCTCGAGCCCCGCGGAAGGGCCTTCCCGGCATGCAGCAGCCTGATCTCGTCAGAAAAGACGTCACCCTGTACGTCTCTGATCAGAGCGCGCCGTGCCTCGTCCAACTCACCAGTTGTGAGCTCACCATCTCTCCTCTCAGAGGGGTTCCGAGCGTTGTGCACAAACCGGCGCACCCAACCAGCGATGCGCACAGCCTTACACATAGACCCCCACCTCTCCACTGGGAACACAGGCTCATGCTTCGTCACACTCGGTGACGTCAGAGCTGCCGTCGGTGACGTCAGAGCTGCCGTCGGTGACGTCAGAGCTGCCGACTCCTCCTCAGTCTCAGCTGCGCTCTGCTGAGCCGCAGAGCCGTCTGAGTCACCCGACCTGAGCCAAACAGGGCCCCTCAGCCAAACATCCGACTCCAGGAGGGACTCGGCGGACACACCGCGCGTGAGCAGGTCTGCAGGGTTGAGCTCACCGCTGCAGTGTCCCCAGTCAGACGGGCTCGTGAGAGACTGAATCTCTCTCACCCTGTTCGACACGAACTGTTTCCATCTCGCTGGGTCCGCCTGTACCCAGCCGAGGACAATTCTGCTGTCAGTCCAGCAGAGCGAGGGCGTGGTCTCCGGCAGCTGCAGTGCCCGCCGGACGAACACCACCAGCCTGGCCGCCAGCAGGCTGCCCAACAGCTCCAAACGAGGCAGAGTGTGAGCGGCGATCGGCGCCACACGTGCCTTCGCCATGACCAGACACACGTCACGAGAGCCATCCTCACGAGGGGCACACACATAGACCACCGCCCCGTATCCCTTTGGCGAGGCGTCACCAAAGGCGTGAAGGCTCACACCCTCCCCACCGTTCCAACCTGAATTGAAGTAGCTCCGAGGAATCTCCATCTGCTTCAGGACCTCCAGTCCTCTCACCCAGTCAGAAAACACGTCACAGAGCTCAGGAGGCAGGATCTCGTCCCAGCCCAGACCGATCCGCCACAGCTCCTGAAACAGACATTTTGCCACCATTGTGTTAGGAGCCAGCCACTGCATCGGATCAAACAACCTCGCGATCAGACTCAACAAGACTCGCTTGGTGGGCACCACATTGTCAGGCAGGCTGACACCCTCAAACACGAACACGTCCCTATCAGGTAGCCATCTCAGTCCGAGAACCTTCACGCTCTCGTCCTCAGGACTGCCGGCCAGCGCGTGAGTTCGATCGAGTACGAGCTCACTGTTGGAAGTGCACTTCGTGAGCTCCATCCCAGCGTCACTGAGGATAGACTGGGCCTCGGTGAGCAGCTCACGAGCACCCTGCTCGGTATCACACCCAGACACAAAGTCATCCATGTACAGAGAAGTCTGGAGCTCTCGGACAGCGCGAGAGGGTGGATACTTATCCAGATGGTACTGGATGGTCGCGATCAGCAAGAACGGCGAGCACGCCGCTCCGAAAATGACTCGCTGAAACCGCATGGTCCGAATACGACCGTCCAGCTCCCACAGAAAGCGGAGAACGTCCTGATCTGATCTCCTCACCCGGATCTGCAGGAAAGCTTTCCGGATATCGCCGGTGACCGCGAATCTCCACCGGCGAAACCTCAACAGCACCTCACACAGGTTGGGGATCAGATTCGGACCAACCTCGAGACAATCATTGAGCGAAAGACCGTGCCTGTCAGTCGCCGACGCGTCAAACACCGGACGCACGCGCGTGGAGGTGCTACTTTCCTTCACTACCGGCCTGTGCGGTAGGTAGAAAGTGGGATTCTCTGACACGAGCTCCTCTCGTGGCACCTCTGCGATCACCCCATTCGCCTCCATCTCCTTCAGAGCCTGATCATACTCCTCACCCAGCTTGGAGTCCTTTCCAAGCTTCCTCGAGAGACCAGCCAGTCGTACCTCAGCAGCCTGCCTATTGTCGACTAGCTCGCCTGGGTCTCTCTTCCACGGCAGAGCTACCTCATACCGCCCATCGTCCATTCGAATGGAATCGCGAAACTTAGCCTGAACCTCAGCCGAAGAATCAGCATCACTCGAATCATGGATCCCTATCCCTTCTAGATCCCAGAACTGGCGGAGACGGCTCTCATGCAGGTCTCCCAGACAGAGCAGTTGACACCCCAGCTGTGGGCCCCTCTGTCCCTCACAGTCACCCACCAGGCCGGACACCATCCAGCCGAGCACTGTCTCCTGAGCTACAGGGCCCCCCTGGGTGCAGTGCACCGCTGGCCTTACCATACTCCAGAAGTAGTCCATACCGACGAGGATGTGCACGTGCAGCGGCTCATCGGGAGGAGGGCGGCCAGCCATCGGGAGGTGAGACAGCTCCGCCATCACAGAGGCAGGCAGGCTGGGCCGGGACAGGGGCGCACAGATCACAGGAACCTCGATGGCCTGCATCGTCACTGAGGAAGGTACATCAGCATTAGCACTCGACAGCGACAGCTCGAACACATCACGATCAACAACACCAGAGCTCCTCCCTCCAAACGCAGCATAGGCCACTTTTTCTGATCTGACCCACTTTGGGCTCACCTGCTTCACCACATCAGCTGAAACATAGCTCCTATCCGAGGCAGAGTCAAACAACACATTTACTGAGAGCTCCTGACCACGCTTGTCTTTCACTAGGGCTCTCACAAGTGGCAGTGCAGTGACTGCACTGTCATTACCACAAGGTAACACTGCATCTGTCGGCACACTAGCACTAACTGCAGTCATAGCTGGGCTGGCCTGCTGCTCAGCCCGCTGAGGTGGGACACTGTTTGATCCACGTACCAGTCTAGAGCAGCACACCGCATGGTGCCTGCCACCACACTCCGAGCAGTTCATCCTACATCTGTTGGCCCTGTGTCCGCGCTGAAGGCAGCGGAAGCACAGGCCTGCTTGACGCACTCTGTCAAGCCGCTGAGGCACATTTAGAGGCACAAGAGACGGGCACTGGTCTGACCTGTGGGCCTGGGCACAAAAGCCACAGACCGCCGTTGAAGTCGAGAGTGCTGCTGCTGCTGCAGGGGCGCGCTGCACCCTGCTCCTCTGCTGGCGGGTCCCAGCGGGGCTGCGCCGGGACTCCGGAGCTGATGCAACACAGTACGCACCGGAGCGCTCACGACGGCCGATCTCAGAGTCCAAAAACTCCAGCAACCAGTTCAGGTCCGCCTCATGACCCACACCATCCCTCGCCCACTCCATCCTGATGGCAGTCGGCAGTCGTTGTAAGAGCACAGGCACCATCATCACGCCATACGCTTCACCCTGCACTCCCAACGCTTCCAAAGCTCTCACATGCGACAAAAGGTTGTCCTGTAGGGCACGAAGGGCATGGACATCAGGAACAGAAGGAGCAGGAATAGAAAGGAGTTGCTGGATATGGTTGAAGATGATACGTTCCGTCCTACCGAAACGATCAGTAAGGATCTTACATGCGGATGCATAGTTAGGGGCACTCAGTGGCAACCCAGCAATACATATGCTAGCCTCCCCCACTAGCAGTGATCTCAGATACGAGAACTTTGTTATGTCAGGCAAGTCACTGTCATGTACGGACGCTCTGAACATCTCCCAAAAGGCTTGCCACTCAAGTACATCACCCCCAAACTTGGGCAAGTCCAGTTTAGGCAGCTTTACAGTGTGGCTACTCACAGAGATGCCGCCCGATGCAGAGTCATTCCCTGAACCACTCACAGCTTTCACCACTTTGGAGAGCACGCAGAGTACAGAATCACGAAAAACTCCAGCCTTCTCGATGTCATCCAGCATCTCACTCTCCGACTCGATCATCAGCTCCAAGTCACTCTGTAGTCCATCCAGGTTGTTCAGCCGTGTCTCCAGCTCCTTCTGGATCACTCTCAGGGCCTCCTGATCACACTGATCCGCATCCAGGAGTTCTTGAGCCTTGTTCATGGTTCTTGAAAGCCACCCCTTGGCAGCCACTCGTTTCTTGTACATCATGGACAAGTCTGGGACCAACGCCATGGCTTAGGCGTGAAAAAACAACAAGAATTAAAGCAAATGGTCCACAGTAACAGCAAAAGAAAAATTAACAGATCTTGAAACTCTTCTTGGCACAGAGCCAAACAACTGAGAGCTCAAAACTCATCAGAGTAAGGTCCAGTACTCACTTGACCAAAGTCAATCACCATCAGCCTAGTGCAAAACAAAGCAAGCTCACAGCACCCCATCTCAACTGGCTGTCACCGGCTTGCCCTTACTGCACATCCAAAGGCTCCGTCCCGCGTTTTCGGCACCAAAATGTCACGGAACTCAGCACCAAAAATCTCAGCTCATTCTTGCAGGCCGTTTATAACTTGAACCACGGCACAGAAAACAAAACACGGCACACCGCCGCCATCAGAAACCAGTAACCACGGCACACCGCCGCCATCAGAAACCAGTAACCACGGCACACCGCCGCCATCAACACCAATAACCACGGCACACCGCCGCCATCAACGCACACACATCAGACACAATTCCCGAACTTTCGGGCCGCCGCTCGCCCCCGGCTGCCGGTCAGCTGACCGCCGGAGGCGACCAATCAGAGCTCGCAGACGCCGTCTCTCGGCAGCACCGACCGGATCAGACGGTCAGCGCCGATCGAGGCGACCTCTATTCGTCGGCATCACCAATAATTCCCGAAAGAGGCGCTACTAATCCGTAACAGACAGCTTAGGTTATCGGGTGTGCAAATATACCACACCTGTGTGTTATGATCCGGAGGAGGGCCTCCTGCACGTGGTTAGACGCCCTGCAGCTGAGGAGGTCAGGTAGGGGTGAGCGAGTTTGTAGGTGCTACAATAGACGTAAAGTCGGCCGGGAGCTGAGGATGGCTGCCGGACTGCAGTTATGGCCGTGACAGTCTGTTTTGTTTGTGTACATATGATCGTTTATGTGTGCATTTGCGTGTATGGTGTCCATAACAACTGACAATTGATCACACAATCGCACGTATTCTTTTCAGCATGACTGACTCATGTGCAATGTCCATTAAGACCGTTCTCTCATCGATTCAGTTGCCTCTTTTTATTGTACCCAGTCCCAACAATGTTGCGCATATTTGCGTGACAATAACCGTTTTCAGCACGTATCAGACAAAAAAAAAAATCATGTTGATATCAACGATGAACGAGCTAACTCCTTTGTTAGAGACCGTTTAGAAAGTTGATTTGATAAAGAAAAAGTGTTTTCGATAGCTTTGTCTCATGTAGATCATGGACGTTCTTTTTATCCCTAAGCATTGTATGCAGTTACCAGAATTGTACTGATTAAAGTGGCAAAAATCATTACTACTTGACCCCTGCCGAAACGATTTGCCTGCCTGATTTTGACGATTTACCTGCCAAAAGGCATGACCCGGTCTGCCACCCTCTTCCCACTTCCAACTCTGACGCCCTCCTCTCGTCTCCACTTCCCACAGAGTCCGAAACCGCATCAGCACTCGCAAACTCCGCAAACGGGTGGTGTTCAAGAACGGCGACCTGAACGTGGTGCAGGGCAACCTGTCGAAGCGGCGGCGTCGCTACCTGGCCGACATCGTGACCACCCTGGTGGACATCAAGTGGCGGTGGACGTTGCTCGTCTTCAGCCTCAGCTTCCTCCTTAGCTGGCTCCTCTTCGCCGTCCTCTGGTGGCTGATCGGAGTCGCTCACGGAGACTTTGACGAGCAGAACATCAACAATGAGGCGTGGATTGCCTGTGTGCATAACGTCAAAGACTTTACCGGAAGTTTTCTGTACAGTCTGGAGACGCAACACACGATTGGCTATGGATATCGCTACATATCCGACCAGTGCACCGAGGCGGTTATCTTACTCTGCGTCCAGAGCATCGTAGGACTCGTGATCCAGGCTCTCATGGTGAGCATCGTGTTTGCCAAGCTGGCGCGGCCCAAGAAGCGTGCCCAGACGCTGCTGTTCTCGCGCAGTGCGGTCATCTGCCAGCGGGACGGCAGGCTCTGCCTCATGTTCCGGCTGGGCAACATGAGGACCTCGTCTCTGATTGGCGCCACGGTGCGCGCGCAGATCATCAGGAAGAGGGTGACGCCCGAGGGGGAGACCCTGCAGTTTGACATGGAGGAACTCAACCTCGGTAAGTGGACGATTTGAGGGGGGCGCAGGGCAAGGGCTTACATTTTAAAATTCACATAGTGGTTCGCCTGATTTATTTTCGGTTGTCGTTGTCGCCTGTCGGCAGGCAATACGTTTGTGGCCATGATTTTCTCGTTTAGAAATAGAAGAAGTTAAATTACCCCTATATTCTCATTTGGTTCGTTTTTCGACATTAGACTACCCCAGCTTTTAAGAAACGTTTGCTGACAGGTGTGACCCTGAGTGGTACCAACAATATCTTCCCAGCAACTTAAGTTGATTCGAGGCAACGCTCAAATATTTCCAGACGAAACCGCTCACCATTCCAAACTATGCCGAGACGAGATGCAGTCGTGCGATCCTTTGTATTGACGCCATTGATATTCAGAGTGCCGAGCGTTTAGAGGCTTCCGTACAATGCCAACACAGAACCGTGCTAGGACACGCCGAAACCGTCCTTATCTTTACCAATAGTTACCTTTTTAGATGATAACATTAACTTTTCAACAGTTGCCACTCCAAACCCTAAACAGCTCCCACACGATACGAACCCCTTCAGCCGATACCACGAACCCTAGCCGATCTCTGCTGTAATCATTTGCTCACGGCGGGTGTTGAAACTGCTGACCGCTGCCGGCTCGGTCGAACAGGCCCCGGGTGTGCTCCTCTGAAAGACAGACAAGCCCCGTACTGTGTGGGGCAAGATGGGATTGGGGGCGTTGGCTTAGGCTTTTGGTTATAAATGTGAGTTGAAATGATAGAGATTAGGAGGAAGGAGCGATTCGATGGAGTCGATTAAATTGATTCCTAATTTACAGTCTGCATAGTTGAATAATAAGTAATGCAGCCTTTTCGAGTATTAGTCTTCCTGTGGCAGTTAGCACGTGTAGCGAAGATGAACTCAGTGTGTGCAGTACAGAAACTAATGCCCATGCTGTTCTGTTATATTCACTTCACTGAAATTTCTCATCACCTGTTTTATGAGCAGACATCCTTCTGTGGAGCTGTTGTAAACACTTTGTTAAGTTTGCGCATCATTGAAACGTGGTGCGAATTTCAGGAAAGAGGCATTACTTTTCGGATGGCAAGACGAGGACGATCACCTCCACAGGTGCGAGAGAATCTAACTTGTCCTCGAGGGCGCTGTTCAGTGCCAGGCACGTGTTTCACGCACGTGCATTTTACCTTGTAATCCAGCATGTTGAGTAACCAGTGACCACTGCACTCCAAAGTCCAAAGTCCCAAAGGAGAGGAGGAATTGCTGATGCCACTCAAAGCCTTGACCTAAACATCTAAACGGAATGTCTCGCATGACGTGACCTTTCTATTTTGTCGCCCACCGGCCTGTTCTATGCACTTATTGTCCGCTGTAGGTACAGTATACCCTGTATACTGTGCCTAATTGGTTCAAAGTGCATGCTGAATTGATAGGCATTACAATTTACAACTAAGACATTTTGCCGACTTCCTGACGTTTTAACAAACGGTTTGGTTTGATACTAACATGCTCAGTGTTACTTAACTTCTATTGGTGATATCTTAGAAAGTGATCGGTTGTTGTTGTGCAAATAAAGTATCCGATGTAAAGAGCGCCTTGTTGGTCGCCCACCGGTTCCACCCTCAGCTCAGTAACGTTTTAAGCCGCTACAGGGCAAATGCACGTGCTGTAAACATCCGACCGCCCTTTGGCTCGCTGCCACGGAGTCCAACTCAGCCCAGTGAGCCCGCCATCTAAACATGATGTCCGTCAATATCACTGTTAGGTTTATGGCCATGAGCATGCAGTACACAAACGACGCCCCAAGCACGTGGCATGAAATTCGAGACCTCCTCCGACTGCCTAACCCGAAGAGTTCAGATGAGATGCATTTGTTTAGAAAAAAGTGCAGTAATCGTTGCGAAAGGCGCATGGTACAGACTACAGGGTGACACAAAAAAAACGGTCATCACCAAATTTCGAATAACTTCGGAAGTTATATTCAGATCATCACCAAACTTCGGCCACTTAAGGTCACACCTATGTAGCATACATCCACCAAGTTTCAAGTCTTCACTACGAATACTTTTAGTACAGTGTGTGTTTTACTGACGCTCCACAATGTGCTCCAGGTGAGTGCCACGGCGCTGCAGGGCGTAGGCACACTTGCATCCGGCGGGCAAAGTTGTCGATAACCCGATGGCTGTGCACTTTACAGAGTGCAATGGCCTCTGGAGACAGTGCTCAGGGGGTGTGCTACCCCTGAAACGTTATTCTTATCGGGTTATATGCAACTTTGCCCGCCGGATGCAGGTGTGCCTACGCCCTGCAGCGCCGGGGCGCTCACCTGGAGCACATTGTGGAGCGTCCGTAAAACACACACTGTACTAAAAGTATTCGTAGTGAAGACTTGAAACTTGGTGGATGTCTGCTACATAGGTGTGACCTAAAGTGGCCGAAGTTTGGTGATGATCTGAATAAAACTTCCGAAGTTATTCGAATTTTGGTGATGACCGCTTTTTTGTGTCACCCTGTACGTTGCAATATCGTTAGGATGTGATGTTAAACGGAACATTATTTTCCTGTTGGCGTAAGTTCTGGTGTAATTTCAAGATATGGGCATCCCTTTTCCTGTTGGTGTGCTGGCGCGCTAACTAAAATCGTCTTTCTTCTAGTCTTCACCCTCGCAAATCATGCCCCCTACCCGCTGCCTGCCAGCTTTTCAGTCGATATTTCACCAACCTATTTATTCAACAGGCCACTAAACACACTGTCTTGTCTTTTCACGACGGACCAATCTTCCTTACATCAAATACATTCACAGCGTGCCAAACCGTGGCATTTCGACTCGACAATGTCTTGGTTCGTTGCTCCCAGACAGAGCCCTCGGTTGGTCCGCCTGGATGCCAGGGTCACACCCGGGGCGAAAGGAGCGGCCTCGCCAGTGTAGAGGCCATTTGCAAGGCTGCACGGTGCACAATGCGAATTCACGAAATGGTATTGCCTTGCCTATGAGGAGGCTGCTGGGTATTGAATGGGTTGTACGCTAAAATAATGATGTGTGTACGAAATGGACGACGATTATCTGGTATGTGTTACGTTTACTCATTGGATATGCGGTCATGACACTCAAATTTATTGATATTCATGCTCAGGTTAGTTGGTAAATGCAATTTCTGCCTGTAAATCTATGTAAATTGAAAGCGTATGGAGCATGCACCTTGGCCGACATTTTTTAGTGTTCATCTTTGTGACCCCATTTGACGGAACAACTTGACACAGTCAATAGGCCAATTTCGGATGATTTCTGGACTGTATCCCCCGAAGCAAGAAGCGTGTTGGATTTGTGTAGCAATGTCCCTCTTCCCCGATGCACACCATTTGCGCTCTTCGATCGTGTCAATCCCTATGTCCAACATATCATCGCAGCAAGCGATCTTGCGGGTCTCAATTGAAGCAACTCCGCCTTGCCCTGATTTTGAGATGCATTGCTTATGTATCTCTTATTCTCTGGCCTATCACCCAGTGAACAAGACGGCCGCGCCTCTGCATGACTGCATAAATACTGCATACGTTTGTACTCTGGAGCGGATCTGGTCATTCTGATGTTGTGGATGGGACCCTCGATCATGTATGGATGATTTTAACAGCATGGGCCGCTGTCTGTTATTCATTTATTCTAATTCAAGGCCAATGCCCTTACGACGTTAGGCGGAGCGATAGAATATTGACGGTTTAATGTTGTGGCTCTAAAATCTGTCTGCACTCATCATGTTTAATTGTTTTGGTCACAATCACTGTCACCTCTTGTTGATGCGTCCCACCAAAGCCGTCATCATTACGGCTTTTAAACCGGCATTACATGAACTTGCTGTGTCAGAAGTTGTGCGTGAGATTGTTTCACGAGGAAATAATTCTACCTACCTGTAAATTTGTTTCGAGATTTTCGGAAACAAAGGAAAGGCCAATGCCATATATATAGGAAAGACTTGGGCGCTACGGGTGTTCCGTTGTTTCAATATTTTGTTACCCTGGCACAATGAGGCTAATGCAGACTTTCATACTTTACCAGCATCGCGATTCAAATTGTGGTTTATCTGTTACTGGCGCGCGTACTTGTTGCTAGACACCCCTGCTCGCACTCCCACCTGTTGCTAGGCTCCTGCTCGTGTAGTCTCGGTCGTCGGGCGGACCTCGGACCTCGGTCCCTGAGGCCAGCCAGTCAGACGGTGACACGGAAAACGCTTCAGGCGTGTCGGGTCACACGCTCGGCCCCCCGGCGGTCACGTGATGTCTCGGCGGTGCCTGAGGGTGGATCATGTGACAGGGTGGGCGGACTTACGATGGGGTCACGTGATGTGATGCGAGGAAGGCGGGTTCTGTTGCAGTGCGATCACTGAATGTGAGCGTTGGATGGACTGAATGGATCGGTTATTTACGGCCTGTGCCTTTTTCAGTGGGGTCAGGTAAATACAAAAAAGGCTAGCTTTTTGTAGGTAGGTTTGGGTATCAATTTTGTTTGCCATCGCTTCAGTCCTACTGATTTTTTTTTTTGCCCAAAGCAGAGCAGGCAGTTTTAACTTTCTACGTCCTACAGGGTGTCCCGAAATTGATGTCCTCTCCCGTTCGTTACGTTTCCTCAGAGCAATACCGGTATACCAATGGCGCTTTACCGGGACCCGACCCTGGGGCACGGTCACGTGTTTGTTGGTCACGTGACCTAGCCAGGTGAGCCGACCCAGGACCCGGCGGGGCGGCAGAGGTCATTTACCGAGAGGGTCGCGAGGCGCGCGGACTGCATATCAGCCATGGCGAAGGAGTACCCTTTGTCGACTCGCTATCGCGCTGTCGGCATGGTCAACGGCGGCACGCCCCAGGTACAGGTAGCCAAGGAGCTAAGGATAGAGCCCAGGACCCTCAGACGCTGGATGGCCCTCGACCGCAAGGGAGAGGCACTGGAGAACCGCGGGGGAAGAGGGAGGAAGACAGCGATGAGCCGGGTGGCCAAAATCGTGGTGGCGAAATCCGTTACGAAACGGCACCAGTCGACACGGAAACTGGCGCGGAAACTCGGTGCAAAAAATCATCCGCCCTCCAAGTCCGCTGTCCACCAGTATCTGCGGCAGTGCCTCCGTCTGAAGCCGCTGAAACCGCGCGGGGAGCCCAAGCTGACGGCAGCACAGCGACGAAAACGGCTGGACTTCGCTAAAAGTCTGATCAACTGGTCCATACAGGACTGGAGGCGGGTCCTGTTCAGCGACGAGTCTCCTTTTGAGCTGTTTCATCCTCCCAACCGCCAGAACGACCGTGTTTGGGCTCAGAACAGCTCAGAAGTGCCTGTCATCGAGACCGTCAAGCAGCCGGGCAAGGTCCTGGTGTGGGGCATGATGAGTTTCCGTGGCCTGTCAGACCTTCACATCGTGCCCCGCGGCCAAACCGTGACAGGGGACTTCTACGTAGAGGAGGTGATGAAGGGAACGACGGCATCAGCGATGAGACGACGGAAGGAGAACGGACCACCAACGGCCATCAAACTTCTGCCGGACATGTCACAGGCCATTTTCCAACAGGACGGTGCCCCGGTTCACAACGCCACCAAGACCCAGGAGTGGTGCCGGGCCAACTTCCCTGGCTTCTGGGCTAAAGGAGAATGGCCAGGTAACAGCCCGGACCTGTCGCCAATCGAGAACCTGTGGTCAATCGTCCAGGACAGGATGGACAAGATGGCACCAGCGTCGTCCGAAACTGCCCTCATCAGGAACCTCCGATCGGCCTAGAGCAGCATTTCTGGAGAAACTCTCGACAACCTGATGTGTGGCATGCCGGAGCGCATGCGGGCATGTATGCGGAAGCATGGTGGATACATCAACAAATAAATCATGAACCGGTCATTTTTTGTTTTGATGTTATTGCACGCAATGGGAGAGGACATCAATTTCGGGACACCCTGTACATTTGTTTCCGTTTCATCATGTAAATAATTTCAGCCTTACTATTCTGTCCTATAGCCACCTGTTTAAATGTCACCTCCTTACCTTTCCCAGTCGTCACCAGGCCAGCCTGCCCCAGTCACTATTGATGGCTAACTGACCTCGCTGGCCCATAGCAACACAGGCTCTGTGGCCCTGCAGCGCGCTGTGGTAACCGGGTGACCTCTGTCACCAGTGGGCCGGACCTTCCATACACCACACTCAGTCTCAGCTGGAGTTGAACACAGCCCTCCAAGGATGTCTCAGACCGTGCCGCCAAGGCGCTATTAGCATACAACAGCTGATGTGACGTCATGGACTGCCAGCGTGACGTCATAGGCGCACGGCATATCATCGGTAATGTCGCGACCGGGGTGGTGATAGGGTTGGAACTTGGAATATGCTGAACAGTGAACGGCAGCTGTAGTGAATTGGTAATGACGAGTACGCTGGTACGAGTGAAGCTGATTTGTAATTGAGATGAGCTACGGCGAAGGGGAGGGGGAAGGGAGAGGGGAGAGTAAGCGGATGCAGGTGTAAAAACTTCGATGATGAGCGGTGTGTGAGATTGTTTTGTTGTGGTGTGTTGTGGTCGGTAGACACGGTTTTTATACCCTCGCTAATGGGTTTGTAAGTTATCCGCTCATGATGCACTTATCAATCCATACAACGCGGTGACCGGGCAAAAGGTCAGGTGCACCGAGCTCATAAGGAGCTTTGAGGACCTTTAAGAAATGTCAGAGAAATTCAGAATGGTCAAATGCCATATTTCAACACGAGTCACGAACTGCATCACAACTTTTTAAGCACTGGACATTGGACAATTTTCCAGCATTCCTCAGCATTGCCTGTGGAGTTACTGGCCAGCAGCCCATCTAATTGCTGTTCGTCCCACCGGTATTGTTGGCGACATGTGTCCCACCCGTCCCATGTGTCCCATGTGTCCCGCTTGTCCCATCTACCCCGTCTGCCCCGCGTTTGTTCCATATGTCCCACCAGCTGACGGCTAGTCAAGTGTGCATTAGAGCACTTCATGGGCCGGATAAATCCGTTATCCACGGATAAATCCGCGGACCGGATAGGACTGGATTCCAAATTTGTTAAAAAAGAACGGATATGGGCGGGCCGGATTTGGGAATTGAAGGTTGAACCCGGATCAAAACGGATCAAAATTTTAACATTCAACATTGAAGTTAAAAATTAACCTAATGTGTTAAGCGGCAGCAGAGGTTTGATTAAAGTAATAGGCATCGTTTTATGACACTCACTTGTCACAAGACTTGTATGGCTGTCTGGTCCCTTAGATTGAATTTGTTAGTCCAGTTTTGGGTGAAACCAGTTATTGGTGAAACGGATTATTACGGATATTTTTTGGAAGTTTGGCTGCAATACGGGCCATGGGTGGGCCGGATTCTGATATTCAAAGAAAGGCGGATAATGGGCGGATCTGGATATGACTTGCCGGATATGGGCCGGGCCGGATCCTAAAAAGCCTATCCGTGAAGTGCTCTAGTGTGCATCTGTCTGAATGAGACTGCAGCGGCACCTGTGGCGGTCTGGTCATGGGGCTAATGCTTCCTAATGACTGTCATGAATTCAGGTGCACCGCTACTGTCACAAAATAATGACGCTCGCTGTACTGCTCCTGATGCCATGTTTGCGTCACAGCTATATATAGGTACAGTAACGCTAATAATTAAGCTGCAGAGATATTGCTGTCGGGTTATTAGCAGATTTGGGGTGACTTTGTATGGGAACATGACACGACCCACAAATGTTGAGTTTTTTCGCCGTCCCTCTTAAAACTGACAGCTAAATCCGTCAAAAGTCAAATGATTTGTGTCGTGTTCGCAGAGTAATGTTTACGGGTCTCATCTTTTTTGCCATTATTGCATATTATGCCTGCTTCTATTTTTGCGTGCGGAATAGCGAAAGTCCTGCCCTAACTTGGTGGTAGAGTGAATCATTTCCACCATTTTCCAGGAAACCACCGCCCCAGATGCCTTCCGATTGATTCATGATCAGCATCCTGAAGGCCCGCTGAGGGCATTGTATAATTTTCAGTGACGTCACAGACCGCCCAGTGACGTCACTAACCATGTGTTCCCGCTAGGCGACCGCAGTGTTTGCTTAGGGATAGCTACTGGAAGACGCGCGCGCACTCGCTCTCGTCTGCTCCCCTCTCAAACAGTTGGAGGATTTTCCAGCTGTGTCGTAGAATTTCTGCTCAGAATCTCTGACACATGATTATCCTTCGCTGAGGGCGGGGGAGGAGTTTGCAGGAAGACTTAATGTGTGCCACATTCCTAATGAACTGTGATCTCATCCTTTACGCATACTTCCGTCTTCAGAAGTAGACGAATATAAACACTGCGATGTTCTCAGAGGTCTGATGCGCAAAAATGTATCATGGTTCTGATTTGTTGACTTCAATCCCAACAGACCTCTGTTTCGGCTCAATGCTACAGCTGAATGTGTATCGACACTCTTCAATTCTCCATGATGACTGAGCATTCCACGATGCTACCGTCTCAGAAATAAATAAACAACCTAAAAATATGCGCCCACCTGACTTGCACTTCTGACTTTCATGGGAGTCAAATGTGTCCGACATCGAACCTTATCTATTCCGATACTTCTGTAAATATCTAGCGTTCTGTAATGTGGCACTGGCGACTGACATTCGTCTTTCTGCCCGTTCTCCTTACTCTCGGATTCGTTTGGATTATCTTGCTGTCGGTACGGTTTCCGCATTCCTGGGAGTGTCGAACGGAGCCAGACGGCCGCTCCTGGGCTGCACTGTAACGGTACTGAAAGGTGTCTATCTGCACTGGGACGGTATATGGATACTGAGAAAATGAGCTGCACAACTTCGCTTAGAAATGATCCTGAACTTGTGACTCATAAACTGAGCCAACATATCACCGAAACGGAAGGTAATGATGCTGAGTGGTTACGTCCGACCGGTGGAAGGGAACGAATCGGAACGAACTTTATGTTGTTACATTTATGTTACATTGTTGAGCTGTGAGTGATGCCACGTTGTTGTTGCAACGGAAAGGAAAGAGGCAAGGCAATGACACGTTTCCACTGGAACCAAACTGGAAGGACATTGCACATTCCTTCTAGGGAATCAGGGAATTAGGAAGTTCGGGTTAACTTCAGTGAGCATACGACCACATCAAATCACTTTTGGACTTGTGTGTTTTCTTTCGAACATGTTAGTATGGTATTGAGCACACAACTAACACAAGTCATGATGACTTCGGTTAGCTTGGTCTACAAGCCTTATAAGAGTTTTGGCAGGCCTGGACGGATGCTGTTGCATCAAACCTATATGATATTAGCCAACTCTTGATATTGTTCTCCCTGTCGCTCCAGCTCAAATTAATTCGGGGATCGCAGCGCCCCTCTGATCTACATCGACTGAAGTAAATTCGGGTTTTCGGTGCGCCTGAATCGCATAGGAGATTCGACCATTCGGATTGACATTCTGTTGAATTTAGTGTGCCAAGCTAAGCTCCCGTATATGTGCCGCAGAATCTGAACGCTGCTGCATCGCCCAGCGCACATCTTTATCATTGCCTATATAGGGCCTTGGGCCTTTAATCATTGCAGCACTGCAAGCGCCGGCCGATCACCGATGAATTATAGGCCAGCGCACGTGCGATATTCGGCAGAGATCTGCGCTGCATTGAGCACATTGCACAACACCGACCCCGGTAGCGGTGGAGACTGCACCTGAGCGAACCTAGGCCCGATCATTGCGGTGTGCGTGCGGTCCGCGCAGCTGCACTCGGGCGAGTGAACAGACGCAAAAAATCTGCAGCCGGCGCCCTCAATGTGACCTGTTGGGCTGGCGGGCGCTGGGCTCTGCTTGTGCAAGTGCTGGTGATTACTTGACTCATAAATCTCGGGGAGTCTTTTTCTAGCGTTGGCACGCCATGTTGATGATGGTAAACTTAATGAAGGAGCAGGCTAATTTGCATCATGTATGATGATATCCGAGGTAAACATGTCGTTTGGTGTGATGAATAAACTGAGCCCAAACGAATAGCATGGTTTGTTCTCGGTACTCAAGGAACACAAACCGATTTAAAACATGTTCTTTCCTATGTTACCGTAAGATAAGTGAACCAACTCCTTACAATATGAAATATCTGTTCTAAATCTCCCTAACTTTTCCTCTTTTTGACAAGGCTTGGTAGCTGCAAAAACTATGCATCCGCCAGACCTTTTCCCGCACAGGCACAGCTGACAAACCCCTGTCCTTTCTCCCGAACGGGCCCAAATTTGAGATTACAGTCCTGGGCCCAATCTTACCAATGCCGTAAATAGGATTTGGCAGCACTGGCCGGAGTTTACGGCACTGATATCAATGATATCTTATTTATTTACATCCAGCTAATCTTGTCCAATGATTTTGATAGCGTGAATGATTATGAATGTTGTCTGAAAGAATGAATAAGTGAATGCGGAATAGTTCTGAATGTTACCAAATGCCGTGAAATGCGCATTCACGGCATTGGTAAGATTGGGCCCAGGTCCCGACGGCCCAGCTAAGAGCAGTATCGCTCTTTTCCCCTACAGCCCCTAACGACAGACCCTCCCTCCTGAACAGGCCCTAACAGCAGACCCTTCTTCCCGACAAGTCCTCACCACTGGTCCCCGTTTCCCCGACAGACCCCGATGATGTTCTCTTCCCCAACAGACCCTAACGACTGCCCCTCCCCGTTTTTCTCTCCCACAGGTCCTGACGACGGCCGGGACAGCATCCTGTTCATCTGGCCGCTGGTGGTGGTGCACACCATAGACGAGCGATCACCGCTCTACCACATGTCTGCCGAGGATCTCCTCCACAAGGAGCGCTTCGAGATTGTTGTCATGCTCGAGGGAAGCACCGAATCGACAGCAATGGAGACGCAGGCGCGCAGCAGCTACATCCCCAGCGAGATACTCTGGGGGCACAGGTGGGTTATAATGGGGGACATGAGACGCAGGCGCGCAGCAGCTACATCCCCAGCGAGATACTCTGGGGGCACAGGTGGGTTAATTGGGGGACATGAGACGCAGGCGCGCAGCAGCTACATTCCCAGCGAGATACTCTGGGGGCACAGGTGGGTTAATTGTGGGACATGGGGTCCTCTTGGGACACAGGTGGGTTCATCGGGGGATAGGGGATCCTCTGGGGCATAGGTGATTTAATTGGGAGGATCCTCTGGAGTAGAGATGGCAAAATGTGGACCCGAGGACCCGGTCCAAAGAACCAGTCTGGACCCATATGGGTCCAGACCGGTTCCTGGAAATTTTATTACGGGTCCAACCGGGTCCTACCATAAAACATGCATCTTGCACACTACATATGATTGCAAAATATGAAGTGGATGGAAAGAAAACATTTTGCTCATGTATGTTTCTTTGCACATTGTAGCTCATGAGTATCCCCAGTGAAAAAGGCTGTTTTACCTGATGCAACAAATGATACCTTCAAATAGTTTGTATTAATTGAATTTTGGGGAACGGGTCCAACTGGTTCCGATTCCAACTCAGACCGGATCCGACTGGTTCCAGCAATGTCCAGTCGGGCCTGGTTCGGGTCTGGTTCCCAAAATTATCACCTTTTGCCACCTCTTCTCTCTGGAGGCACAGGTGGGTTAATTTGGGGGAACAGGCACAGGGGATCCTCTTGAGGCACAGATGGGTTAATTGGGAACAGGGGATCCTCTGGGGACACAGGTGAGTTAATCGGAGACAGGGGAGATTCCCTAGTGTTAATGGTGGGTGTGGGGGACGGGTAGGGAAAGGTTTATCCCCAGCGAGATCCTCTGAGGGCTTAGGTGAGTTAATTGAGGGGGGGGGGATCCCCAAGAGTCACAGGTAGGTGGGTGAGAGGGACGGGTAGGGAAAGTTTTATCCCCAGGTAGATTCTCTAAGGGACACAGTTGGGTCAGAGAGGGGTGAACCTCGTTATCATTTGGTGACGGGCGAAATCCTCAGGGGCTCGGCTCTAAGGGAGTGCTAAGAAGGGAGTGTCTCCTCTCCCACGAGGAGAGACTGAGAGACACATATAATGCCATGCCTTCTTCCGATAGACAGTGATCTAAATGGGTCAAGTGCAGTAATATCTTCCGAAGTGTTCGACACTAAGAGGCAGCTCTTTATTTCCCAGAAAAGACCCCATTGTCTCTTCACATCAATCAACTTAGTGTCATTTCTCGTTTTCTCGCTAGCTACTTCAGTTGTTTGTTCATCAGTTTATTTTAAGGGCGGCGTTGCTCATAAATTGGTACAAACTCGTGGCTTTCTTTGCCTGGCTCTCCTTCCCGTTCAGTGAGTCTCGTGCCTCACCCCCTTGTGGCACCTCCCGGCAGGTTCGAGCCGATCATCAACTTCCGCAAGGAGACGGGCGAGTACTGGGTGGACTACAGCAAGTTCAACAGCACCTACGAGGTGGACACGCCTCTCTGCAGCTCCAGCGAGCTCGACCAGTTCCGGAAGATGCAGGCCGAGAGCGTACAAAGTGAGTTGGGGCGGTGACACCAAATCGGCGCGTCGTGACAAAGGTTATGAGAATATTTGTCAAGCGGTACGAATGTAGCTTTCTTAGGTTGAGAGTAAGTTGATAAGGTTTGTGAGGGTGGTGTTTTTAGGTGGAGTCTGGGGGTGGCGTTTGAGTCCCTCAGTCCCCACGGGTCGAGTTAAATCTTTGAAGTTTGATGACGAGATAGTGCAAGGTGCTTTACAATTTGCGGCTAAAATCGCCCTGAAAGTATTTGTTTTATTGTCAAAGTCAGCTCAATGATAGTTTGACCAAATTACCAAACTCAGAGTTTTTTTCATAGGGCATTTCTTATTTTTGTTTTATCGCGTATGATATATGGGATATAGTTAGCATCGCAAAAGAAGGCAGCCGATAGCTTATTTACAGTCATTCCATAGTTGACCGCCATTTCGCGACTTACAGGCCGTTTTATTCTCGCGGCTTCGGCACGGAGACTTTCATAACTCTGCAGAGTTCAACTGGCTAAAACTGGAATTCATATTCAGTTGCCCAACTCATCGTCATGAACTACGCCGAGCAGAAAATAAACAAAACTAATTTAAAGCGACCGCGATGCTTGATAACAACAGCCTGCACGCGACGTCTGAGTATGATAGGGACACAGACATCGCAGCTCCCACCTTTAAACCAACTTTACACCGTCACAATGGATTTACAAGTCTGGGAAACAGGCTCAAAGCCCGACGATCTACAGAGTACCTATGGCGAGAGGCAGCCAAGACCCTTCCAAAGACATTCCTGAGCTCATGAGGAAAACGTCGCTGCTGAGTGTCCGTACCAGTCATGCGGCTGGGATTTCTGCTCTCGATGTCTGTTTATAAATAGCGGATGGGCAGCGGTGGCGGTGCAGGGATCTATAGAAGATGAGAACATGGGCGGCGGGGAAGCAAAGGGGCCAGGGGGACTGGTTTACAAGGAACCTGCCTCGGCGAGGTTTTGATGCCGCGAGGTGATATTGGTTACAAAGTCTAAAGCGGTACAAGTCTAAGGCAAAAACACTCTTTTGCTGCGATGAAAAGTGCGGCTGCAGGTCAAACTCAATGCTAAGGTTGTGTTCAACATTAATAATGTCAATAATGTCAATAAGGAGGCATAACTATAATTCTTTTCAGTTTTCTTGAAAGCGATGTGAATAACTTATGTTGATAATAATAAAATCGGCGCGTCGAAAAAAGTGACTGAATGTCTAATGGGTGAATAGATGAAATTCATTTGCTAGCCATATTCCCGCTAATCATCTACGAAGTTTACTGAAGCGTACTGCAATAAATCACGACTTAAGTTACTTCCACATGGTGCCAGTCTAACCACCACTGTAGCTTGCATGACAACCTCCCCTTACTCGGCAGTGATCCGCGCTAAGCCTCATACGAGCACACCCAAAGAACTCTCCCGACTAACCGCGTAGATTATGACGCCGTCTGAAGTTGCCGACTGAATTCTCCGGCGGCGCTGACAGAGTCGACAGTTGTGTACATTATCTCACAGTTGTCTCTCGCCACCCCACGCGGAGAGTTAGTGTCAACTGCTCAGACGAGACACGTTTTTTGTGGTCCCTGAGTGGTCGCCCGGCCTCGGAGACACTAAGGAGACATTTGAGACGCGGAGGAAACATTTGAGACAGATGAGACATAAGGACATTGCGGAGACATTTGGGACAACGAGGAGATATCAGAAACATCAGAAAGATTGAGACATTGAGGAGGCATTGAAGAGACAGAGGAGACATAAGAGACATTTTGGAGACAGTTGGGACACCGATGAGACATCAGAAACGATGAGACATTGGATAAACATTGGAGACACCTAGGGGTGGCTCAGAAACACAAACACATGCTCTCTAGGCGGCTGCAAGTGGTTTTTCACACGGTGGAATTGTTAGCCGCCACTTGAGGCGACATAAGTGATGTGGGACTTTGTCTTTGAAGGGCCTCCTCAGATAGATACGGCTGTGATAACTGATATAGGCTAAATTCGGCTTGTTTTGAACTTAGCACTTGACAGTGAACAGTAATGCTATTTTTAAAGGCAGCTATGTGGTTAACTGATGTGTCCATTGTTTAAAGAATTTTTTTTCTGACTCGAATAAAGACCGCGAATCGACCATCGAATTGCGTCATGTTGCACAACAGCTTACCATTGCCTTGCGATATACGTGAAGATAAGACATTCAATATTTAATACTCTCCCACTTCCTTTTTTTCTTCTTGTCGCATGTCTCCTTCCGGCACAAAATGGGAATTTATGTACCGCTGTCTTTATAGCAAAGTCTCATTTTCAATTCTGAAACGTTACTCGCCGCCCCTATCATTTCCCCGTAAACACGGGATTAATCTGGTCTCTCTGTGACAGCGGAGAGTGGTGTGATCGGCCCGTGAGAAACTGACGGTCGCCGATCAAACAGAACACGGCGGGTACCTACTGTTACCGTGGGCGGCCAGGGGCCGGAGGAGGGGCGGGGGGTAGTCACGGTCACATTCACACACGCTGGTCGGACGAAAATGTTTGTAGTGAGGTTCACATGTCAGAAAAATATGACCGGCTATGCACACGCTCCACTTTTACTTTGTCCACTCTTGTTTTTTTTTTTTGCGGCATACGAGTATGTTAATCGTCATCATTCTGTATTGCCGCTCCTTTATTGTCGTCTATCTCGAACAACCATCACATCACATCCCGATAAACGGGCCCCCCGACTTCTACTGACCTGCCGTCTGCTTCCCCAGGCTCCCAGCTGGGCACACCGCCACAGGTAACATCTAGCGGCGGCCTCAACAACTTCGACCTGCTGCGGCACCAGGCAGAGACCGGGAAGGAACAGTAGAGGCAGAGCGCCAACAGGGCCGGAGAGCGCCAACTTCAGATGGTGAGAGTTGCGATAAATCCTTTGGGGAATAATATAAATTTAATTGCCCTGTCCGAACACTATACCAGACATTATTCGGTCGCTTTCCCAAGGGTGTTTTAAAATAATGTCCGAACGAAGTGAGGACATTATTTTATCGAAAATAGTGTCCGAACGGAGTGAGGATGCTATTTTCGAAAATTGCACGAATGAAATGAGTGCAATTTTCGCATTGAATGTGCGAGCCTGCGAGCACATTCAATGAAAACACCCTTGAGGAAAAGCGACCGTATCATGGCTGGTATAGCATTCGGACCGGGCAATTAAATTTATTATAGTAAATTTTTTGGACCGAGCACCAACCCATCTCTGAGAAAGAGTTCGCTTTTGGGCTTCGACATTAAGGAGGGACACGGAAGATGGGGGGGGGGGCAGCAAATGGTTAAAGCTTTGGGCGTATAATGAAAATTATTGCCAATGGCCTTTAACACACGATGGGCGAATAATGAAATTAATCTACCACTTGGTCTCAGTATACCCATGGATGAGATAATAATGGATTGGTGTCTTCGCAGTTTTTGGCGACATTGAGCTCAGGCCTGCCATCTAGCGGGAGAATTGTCGTAAGTTAGGAGCAAGCCGAGTGAACGCCGCTGATTAGCATTGTGACACACGGGAGTGTGGTGTAGTAGCAGGCTTGTTGTGCAATTTTTCAAAAGGTTATGTCTTTATATGTCAGTAAAAGCGAAGAAATTAATAGATTTATGTGCAGGGTCAGTAATAAGATAAGCAGTTCCATGTTATTTCCTCATTAAATCGTGAAACAGGGAGTTATTGGAGACTTCGCCAGCACGTGTCGTTTTCGCTATTTTTCACATGAGTCTTTACTTGGCCTAAATCAAACAAATTGTCCGATCAAAGAACAAAACGAACGTAAGTACTATCTATAAGTCTAATGAAAAACTTAAACGGAATTGCTAACGTCATTGCCGCTCAATATGTCACTCAAGACGCTCTATGAAAAGGACCCAACCGGTGGTGCGTAGTCGATGAAATTTCAGTAACTTTGGCTCCAACTCCGATTCCGGTATCCCAATATCGACTCCGACTCCTCCGGGCAGAACTGTCAATTCACACAGACTCCGTCTCTGACTCCGCCTGCAGCCCTGGTAAGTCTGTGGAGTGATGACTTTTCGGTGACGTTCGACTCATACTCGGGCTACAGCTTTTAAAAATCAACCGACTCCGAGTCGGAACAGAACCGCTGGCTCTGACCACAACTTCGCAGCCCTGGCCCAAGATAGCTGCCTAAAACAACTTTTATGTGTGATATTCTTCGTACATTGTTAATGTTATTTTAAACATGGGGTGGAAAAGGGAGACGAAGCCTTCACAAACGAGGATCTCCTGTTGCGGATCAATCAGCTGCTGGAACAGAAAGGCATAAACACCACGCATCTCATTTCATCGTTTTCCTAACGACTCTGCACCAAAGTAAGCACTGATCAATGCAGTGCGAGCATCGATGTGACATTTGTGTACCAAGTTTGAGTGTTATCCGCCCAGCCGTTCTTGAGATATGGAAGCGGCACCCCGCACGTGCGCACGTGCAGTAGGTAGCACCCCCATAGTGACACATGGAAATGCATTGGCCGCTGGGTGCCTAACTATTGACGAAGTTTTACTGTAATTGGCCCAGCCATTGCGGAGTTACTTTATGTGGAACAATTTCGACACCCCTAAGTTGGCACGTGACACGTGCCTTAACATTAACTAAGATGAAGAAAATCGGGCGTAATTCGAGGAAGAAGGAATGAACCTACCAAATATGTAAGTGACATATTGTCCAACTGCTATACCATTGTGAATAAATGACCATATAAAAGGTCGTACAAGCCGATGTGACTGGGCGTTTCAATACACACCGTCTTACGCATTTTATTTTCGTTATTACCTAAAGGCTGCTTGACGTGTTTGGCTTTCAAGCATTTAAGACGTTTTTTGTCGTCTCAGGTCTAGTAAGATTACCTCCAACTCGTGGGAATATGCACTTTAAGCCAACTAACACACCACACCCACGTGTGTCATAATGCTGAGAGATGGCGTTCACTCGGCTTGCTCCTAACTTACGATAATTCTCTCGCTAGATGGCAGGCCTGATCCCAATGTCGCGGATCCCAATGTTAATTTCCACGAGACACCAATCCAGTGTTATATCATTCATCAGGGTATATTGAATTAGGTCATCCATGGTATACCTATACAAATTGCACATTGCCAACCACGTCGTATTTTGCTTGAAATTCATCCCCGATTTCTCAGATATTTCCTGGTAAACATGCGAGACGCGTCTGTTACTTTTATTAGACATTCATGCTACGAAGTAATTGCGAGTGAGGAGTAGGCGTTGCGGAGACATGCTTTGCCTTCATTAGTGGGAAAATTTCGTTGCGTTCTTTCCTCTTTCCTATATTTTGACATCCAATGTCCCTGAAGGTATGATAACAAGCGTCGATCTTACTACGAACACTGGCTCCTGGCAGTGCTGTTCTTCCCGTTTTGTAAGGGTCAGCGTCAATCGCTCTTTTCACTGGCTCTTGAGAACTACATATGCCTCGAAACCTGCCTTCTAAATTTATGCGTAACCTGCTAATCCATCTCTTTGAAATAAATACGATAAGTCATCACATTAAGGCTGTGTTCTTGCCAATATTCACTTGTCCACCTGTTTCGCAATTTACTTTATTCCAAGCTGCAAGATACCCTGGCTGCAAGCTTCCATGACCGGATTTTTATTGAGGTTTCAGTCATCGAACGCATTGTTCAACAGGGAGCTTTTGAAGAGAAGAAAACTGCCGTATAATGAAATTAACCGCCGTGTTTTTATGCATGGGTTTTGATAGGCATTTCCGAGTTTTGCCGTCGACTGAAATTAACCGTCTCTCGCGCTTCTGGCTTTCAGCAGGCCACCTTTATACAAAAATTTAACTGAACTTTTTAACATGCGTCGGTGGCAAAAATGTACTATAATTGTGGAATATTGTGCTGAGAAACGGGGGCTGTTTTGTATCTTCAACAAACGGAGTCTCAATGGTTAAAAGCTGGAAACATGCTACGATTGAATGGGACTGTTAGAAGAACGATCTAGCAAAGTATGTAATTGATTTTTTTTTCTTTTCATTTTGTTTCTTAGGTACTTCGGTCCGTGTAAGCAAATATATCCTTTTTGTAAGACCTGGCGCTCATTCACATCCTCTAAAAAGTACAGTTATTTAACAATTCAGCGTAGCCGTCTTTCCTGTACCGTTCAGCGTTTATTATTTCAGGCCAGCGTGCACGGATGTGGGGTCGGTTAAATCTGACAAATGTCTCATAATGAGTGCGCTGATAGAGCCCAGCTAAAGAAAACACACTTCACTGACCGCCGACTGCTGAATAGGCAGAAACCTGCGGTCGGCGGCCGCCTTTTTATTACGACTGTGTGCGTGTGCGCTGACGTAGTTTCTGGGAGCTGGGTCATAACTCATGCTGACGTAGCACTGTTTATGAGACGGACCATTGGACCGGGGTCTGCGTCGGGGGTGTGTTTTAATGGGGTTAATGGTTGGGGTTAGTGACCATTGACCAGGTCACATAATAGGGTGTGTCACGTTGAGTAATCGAACCGATTGATTTCGTGGTTTCCATGAGTTGACTCTAAAGAGAGCTAGGATCCAACCGCTTATGGTCCAAAATCCATAATCATTTCTGGCCATTGCCGATGTCAGTCCCACCATTGAATGTCTGGGGGATGCTTAGAAGAGTGGCCTCGATTCATCTAGTATCCGATTCGTTTGCCATAACTGCATTTCCTACAACGAGCTTCTTAATCACATTGCACCTTTTCGTGAAACGTTAAATGCTTTGTCAACGACACAATATGTGGCGAATAAATTTATTTGTTTGTTTTTGTTTTGCTGGATTGGGCTGTTTCGTTCTAACGAGACCATTTCAGAGCCGGAGAGATAATAGGATATAGGGGGAGACATTGGTCTGGGCGGGCACCCTAGTGATTCGTCGGGGCTGAGCCCATTCAATGGACAGGCCACCCAGCCCAGCGCCCTGACACTCACCGCACCCGGCTACGGGCTTGCTCTTATCGGGCATTCCCGCATGGGTTAAAGTTGCCCGTCTCAGCCCGGAGCAGGGGTTTGAGGCGTGGAGAAGAATGATCTGTCTTTCTCCACGCCTCAAGCCTCTGCTACGGGCTGGACGGGCAACTTTAACCCATGCGGGAATGCCCGAATGATTTGAATGTATTATGCTTATTTCTGCTTGTGTTTTTATGTGAATTATGTTAATAAAACTGTATGAACTTTAAAAAAAATGATCTGAATGTCCTGAGGAGGGAAACGACGGGACGATGGTCTTGTTCGTTATCGCACTCCTCGAAACACCCCCGTCTCCCACCCAGCAGTCAGCACCCTCCCTAGACCCTTATGCACGCTGCCTGGCTAGAATTCACGAGTCAAGGACAGATTTATGGCAAAGTCTTGCAGCAATATCGTTGCTAACATGGCGTATTTTCTGTGTTCGTTGCAGCTTTACCGGGGGCCGAACATCGAGCCAGTCTTCCCAGCTCAGCCTCAGAACCTGGCGCTGGGTAGTTCCAAATCCGGCCACCAGAGGCGCTACCCTCGACGCGCTGGCGAAGTTCGCCGCGACTGCAGCGCCATCTGGCAGCCAATCAATGGTACCACAGCTCGCCGCCAGGTGTCCCACTCGCAGCCAGGCAGCCCTCGCCAAAAACGGCACACCGCAGTACAGCAGTTATTTGTAACTTATCGTGCATTGGCTTAGGATGGTTTTGTGTAGAGCTTGTGGTGAACCGGCAACTAATTTTCACAGTTACTTCACCAGAAAACGAGGCGTAACAGGCTGCCTCTTGAAACCTTTGCACGTGCATTACTGAGAGATCTGGTGGATATGCATTAAGATCTGGTGGATACCACTGGCTTCCGAGGCATTCCATAAGCGAACAGCGAGGTCATGGATTAAAGGCGCCGAGGGTGTGAATGCAGCGCCCAACGTTCATACCGAGATTCGAGAGAGATATTTGATGTCGCATTGTGCCATTTGCCTTGTGTCAGAGTGACGAGGGTATCGCGAACGTCTCTATCAGTGAGTTTGTGTAAACTTTTGATGAATTTGAGCGCGGGACGTTTCGGTTTGATGCCGTGTTCGATCCATCGTCAGTTCCCTAAACCGACTTCGCATGATAAGAAGGGCGACACTGTTCAAGAACCGTCGTGAGTGCTTGCTTGAAGGCGGTTCAAGCACTCATAAAACTATTGACTCAGCTCATTTTGTATGGACCGTTTAAGACATATATGTATACTGGTTGGAAGTGTTTTCTACTGTTGTATATTTCATGTATATAGACGGAAGAGGACCACGGCATTTTGTAGAGCTTGTAGGACGTGTCGGAGCGACTGTCCTGTTTAAAGCTAGTGTAGATGACAGCGTTGCTACGCTTTCGAACTTCTTTCAAACTGAGGCGGATGCGTTTTGAATGTTTGAAAGCATGCTCATTATAAGTTATCATACTATGTATGTATCGATATGTTTCTTTTTTTTCGGGTTATCAATCACACAATCGGCGCAAGAGGCTACATCAACCGCATGGTCTTTCATCTAGTGCCTCTGACTGGTAAAAGCGACCTTATCAGCAGTTGGCACTGGAGCCGTTGGCCGAATTGGGTGATTGAAAGCCGGAGCTTTAGTTTTAGAGGAACAGCTCAATGGAGGTGTTGGAACCAAAGTGGTCGGAACGTGCCTTCAAATAAAAGTTACTGACGCTATTTTAACCCGAGTCTGGATAGATTAGGTACCTATTTACACAGCGAGAAACTGTTCGACCGAACCTCGCTGTCTCGACCCTGATTCGTAGGTAGGCACTTTTTTGCGTGCAGGGACGTAGCCAAGGAGGGGGCTAAGAGGACAGGCTACGTGCCTGTTTGCGTGTAACTCAAGTATTGAACGTCAATGCTTGCATTTATAAGGGGTTACAACTTGACCGGTACTCAGAGAAATCCAGTGGACGACGTTTAATGCCGCAGGACGATGAACAATACTGCTAGACGGTATAGGAGTCGTTAAATACGTGATCGTTCACGATGATAGTCAAACTTATGCAGAGGCGGATCCAGCTCAGAGGTTTGGGGGGGGCAAACCATAAAAATTTATCGATTCTTTCCATGCATCGCCCATAGGCGTAATGTTAAAATCATGCCGTTTGGGGGGGGGCAAATGCCCATTTTGCCCCCCCTGGATCCGCCACTGAACTTATGATCTACTAAACTCGGCTAAAATCATTTTGCGTGTATTATTGGGTAATGTTGTTATCAGATATGTACCGAACGCATCTGAGGGGCACCGATTTGTAAATGCGGATGATATAAAGTACGATTACGATTAGACTACCATTTATCACGATTACATAACAGAAAATCTAGGAGTGTATCTGAGCAATTTAGGTGCGATTACTGAAACTCCACATCATACATTGCATCCATGGATGAAACACATTCTCATATGTGTCATATACCTACTAAGGAACCGGAATAAATCTACCAATGGCCGTGAAACAATCTTACTGTATATAAACCCGGCACCCGCCGTACACATAAACGGTTTTCTATTGCGTTTTTTTTTTTGACGTTCTAGCTCGATAGGTTCACGACATGTAGTATATATGGACCATTTAGTATAAAGTATTGAAAATAAACATGAAAGAATACTTCCGGTAACAGAAGACCAAATATATAATGCTTCATAATCATAAGTTTTACAACTTTGTACTTCAGTGAAGATAAAGCACTTCGTGTCCTGGGTCGACCCTGCTCCCCCGGATTCCGTGCCTGGCATCGCCTCTGCCAGCCACTGCCGGCCGCCCCAGTCGCCGTGGCTGGCGCCGCCCGTGCGTCTGTCCTGCCTCCGGGCGGTATTGGGTCGGCCGGAGCGAGGCTGACCGTCGCGCCCGCGACCCTTTGCTCGGTGCGCTCGGGACGGGCGGGCGGCTCGCGGCGTGGTGGAGAACTTTGGTTGAATGCCGCCGATATTTTTGAAAGGTAAGCAAGCCGTTGATGTAGTGCGGTATTGTACAATTTGTTGAGCTGTTTTAAGGATAAGCTAGTATTAAGTGAGGCTGCGAATTGTGCGATAACCACTTAACACGCGCAGTGGAAGGGGGGGGGGGCGGATTTCGCCCACCCCTCCTGTTTTTCGCCAATAACTCGCGCCGCAAGCATAATATCAGTGTGAAATTTCGGCTACCTGTCCAGAATTGAATTGCGGATCTTCTCGTGCAAGAAGTAAGAAAATCGGTTCACAACTTTTCTAGTAATAGCGGTGTAAAGTCAAACATCCTGCCGCCGCGGCGGCGCCGCGGCGCGGCGGCCGGCGCTAGCCGTTACGCGCCGCCTGAATTGTAGACTGTGCCGGGGCGGGACGGTTCCGTCTTTACATCGCGCTCCTTACCGCTGATTATATTAGATTCGCGTCAAATTCGGTGAGAAGACTGAGAAATGTACAGGCAATCATATAATCAAAGAATTTTGAAAATCGGCCGGTAACAACTTGAGTTATGAGTGTGTAAACACAAAATTGTGATTGCCGCGTTTCCCGCGTCGGCCGATGCTGCTTCAGCCGGCGACATCTTACCCTTAGCAGGCTTCTAACTGCCATATTTATTGTTGGATTATCTAGAAATTCTCCATAAATACTCACAAATGTTTGTTCTTTCGTATAGTGAAAGATTTCAAAAAATCGGCCGGTAACTTTTTGAGTTATCGGCGTGTAAACGCAAAAAAGTCGCTAATATGGCAGATTTGACCACATTTGACCTCATTTGACCTTGAAGATATTGACCTAGGGTCATGAAATTCACACACAACAGAGTTCCCCATGGCCCCCACCTACCCTCCAAATTTCGTTTTTCTAGGTCCAGTGGGAGCTGAGATCTTAGGGGGGGCGACATCCGCCCCCCCCCCTTCCACTGGGCGTAGTACTCGCAACCCTTCCACTGCGCGTGTTAACATTGTGTAAATGAGCCATATGATATTGCACGGATATTTTACAATGCTGCAGCTTCAAAACAACTTTTGTGTGACGACTTTGGAAATATTTAGGAGACATAAATGAACGACGTAGATAATTAATAACTGAACGATATTGGGTAATATTTCCGTAATACCTACTATTTTCATAATAACATCTTCGTTTTAATATGTTCGTATGTCAAACTAAGCGAGTGAGCTTTCATTTGTGTTTCCAAAATGTGCGCAATTTAAAATGTGCTCATATTACTACCGCTGACAGAATCGGACAAATATCACGAAATTGTCCAGAACAGATAGACATACTCGCACTCTATTTCGTAATCGGTATAGTCCCAAGAGCTCGAAGAAGACATTAATAATCAGTTACATGAAAAGTGTAATTGATTATTTGTTTACGTAATTGATTATTTGCAATATTCGCATGCTGCTATAAATATACATAGTCCGAAGCCGCCATGCCCCAGTGAGTGACTCGATCCCTGTCCCGCCGTCTCAGTGTTGGTTTGTGGGGTCAGTGGTCTGGACTGCGGTGCCGCTACCTCCTCTCTGTGCTCTGTAGACGGTCACCGGAGAGGGAGCCGGTCCCGTCACCGGTCCCGCGTCCCATCGACCCGTCATCAGACTCAGAACAGTGAGTGTCTTTGGGGCGGTGTTATAATCCACTTTGTGTCGTGTACCCGAAACATGAAGTGTGATTATGTACGCTAAAATAAACATGCTTCAATCGTTAACAGACCCGTTCCCGACCAAAAATCTCTGTTGTATTTTGTCCGCATAAGGCTAGCGGTACGCTGAGGTGTTATAATTTTCGCTGATCGATAATTTGTTATTTCAGGTCTACCAGCAAGATAGACTGTGTCACTGCTTCAACACACCACCAATCTGTCCGCCAAAGGACGCCAGTTAATATATCAGGTGAGCCTCTGCGCTGTAGAAGGTGCAGCACTGAATCTATGGCACCACACCGAGCCGTGCTGGTCTTCAACTATACCAATTCGTTTGTTTTATTGCCTCAGGTGCGGCTGGAAGCTGGTGAAGCTGCTTCATCACACCACCGGGACCCACCACTGGAGTAAACTGATCAGGTAAGTCATCGATCTTTGCAATCAATTATACGTTAATCAATACCTGTGTTGCTGGTATATCTATTCTGGTATTACGATCAATCTATCGTAATACCAATGCAGGATAGGTTTACAGATTGTGTTTATATTTTATATCTCTACCGCTTTGAAGGCCAGACATAGTAAGTGTAACCGCGTTTCGTCAACTACCATCAATAGAGAAGGACAGTTAGGATTGCCCCAGTGATGTATTGCAGCAGTAGTCCATTCATTTGTCACGTAAAAGCTGCAACAAACACGCACAGATCACGCACCGTCAGTCACATGAAGCTCATGCAGTGCTCATGCACGATTCATGCACGACAGCCCTGCGCAAGAAGCTATGCGGACAAGACAATCGAGCAAGCATTCTAGCGATTTGTTTGACAGTGCATTATTCACAAGCAATCATTCACATTTTGTACTGTCTGCTGAACATTCTGTTGTGATCAGTGTCAATTCAAAGTAGTGGCCAGCTCATTAGAAAACAAATGACTCCATAGCGTAGCCACAGTTGACCGCAGACATTTAACACATAAACGTATGGATACGTACTTCGTTTGCAAGATGAAGGAGTTCAATGGTCCACAATACGCCTGTCATCAATGAACAATTACTTTAGCACGTTTGCACTGTAAGAGAAGGCAAAACATGTGTGAGCAAACCCGGCAGCCACGATTGCAACACAAAGCAAACGTCCCAACATCCCATGCAGTGCAAATTCCGCAGGCAGACATGCACAGGTAAGTGTTGCACATTCGCATGCCCTAAGCAATAAACTGAACTGGCACCTCCTATTCCTTCAATTCCCCCTCTCGGCGGTAACATGGCTCCCCAAAATCCGGTGAGGATTTTATGATCCTGAGAACAAATCCCGGATGCACAGAGGCGCACTTAACAAACTTAAAGATAACTTCCGCAAACACCCCATCACAGCTGAGTTCTTTGCAGCCGCTCCGCCGGGTGCCGCAATCACTGGCCGCGTTGTCTCAGCACTCGCCCAAAGTCCGCGCAAAAACCGCAACGGCCGATTCGACGAACCACTCTGTTCCAGCTCCGTCGAAGATCGCGAGCTGAAATCTCCAGCCCCGCTGCTCGACTCACTGACTCCCCGACTGGGAATCACACTGCCCACGTCTCATGAGAGAAATGAGACGGTGCACGGGGCGGTCATACTCCTGACCGTTTACACGCACTCGCACCCTTCGCACAAGTCCGTCCGTAGCCGGGTACGTCGCCACAACCAGGCCTAGTGGCCAGGCGCCTCGCGGTTGGCTGTCATCAACCATGATGACAACGTCGTCCTCCTGCAGGTTGTGTTCTGGCCGCTGCCATTTCCGCCTCTCCTGCAGAGACGGCAGGAACTCGCGTCGCCACCGCGTCCAGAATTCGGTGGCGAGGTGCTGTACTCTCCTCCACCGTCGTCGCCCATACAGGTCCGCGGAGCAGAACATCCCAGGGGCAGGAAGGACGACCTTTGATTTTAGGGTGAGGAGTTGGAGAGGTGTCAATGGCTCCACAGTATCACTACTGGACATGCTACAGTAGGTCAAGGGCCTGCTGTTGATGATGGCTTCAGCCTCGGCGAAAAGAGTTTGCAGAAGTTCGTCGTCGAGCTGTTGACCATTAGCGCTCAGC